ATAAAGAGGGCAGAGAGAGAGAGAGAGTAATAAAGGCACCCTCCCCAATCTAATATTTTCTATTTGGATGCCTTTCATTCCTGTTCTGCCCCCAGACACCTTACTGCCATATCTGGGACTCCCCCACCCGCCCCAAATGAAAATATAGTAGTGTTGCAGACTGTTATAAGCATTAAGAAAATACATCTGTTATGGAACTATCATGTGAAATGAAATCCCTCAGTAGATTGTGTTTTAATTAGGGCTGTTAATTAATCACAGTTAACTCACGCAATTAACTAAAAAAAATTAATCGTGATTAAAAAAAATAATCGCACTGTTAAACAATAGAATACCAATTGAAATTTATTAAATATTTTTGGATGTTTTTCTACATTTTCAAATACAGTATATCGATCTCAGTTATATCACAGAATACAAAGTGAACAGTGCTCACTTTATATTTTTTATTACAAATATTTGCACTGTAAAAATGATAAAAGAAATAGTATTTTTCAGTTCACCTCATACAAGTATGTCGTGCAATCTCTTTATCATGAAAGTGCAACTTACCAATGTAGATTTTTTTTGTTACATAACTGCACTCGAAAAGAAAACAATGTAAAACTTTAGAGCCTTCAAGTCCACTCAGTCCTACTTCTTGTTCAGCCTATCACTAAGAGAAACAAGTTTGTTTACATTTATAGAAGGTAATGCTGCCCGCTTCTTATTTACAATGTCACCTGAAAGTGAGAACAGGCTTTTGCATGACACTGTTGTAGCTGGCGTCGCAAGATATTTATGTGCCAGATGTGCTAAAAATTCATATGCCTCTTCATGCTTTGGCCATCGTTCCAGAGGACATGCGTCCATGCTGATGACGCTCGTTAAAAAATAATGCGTTAATTGAATTTGCGACTGAACTCCTTGGGGGAGAATTGCAGGTCTCCTGCTCTGTTTTACCGGCATTCTGCCATATATTTCATGTTATAGCAGTCTCAGATGATGACCCAGCACATGTTGTTCGTTTTAAGACCACTTTCACTGCAAATTTGACAAAATGCAAAGAAGATACCAGTGTGAAATTTCTAAAGATAGCTACAGCACTTGACCCAAGATTTAAGAATCTGAAATGCCTTCCAAAATCTGAGAGGGATGAGGTGTGGAGCATGTTTTCAGAAGTCTTAAAAGAGCAACACTCTAATGGGAAAATTACAGAACCCTAACCACCAAAAAAGAAAATCAACCTTCTGCAGGTGGCATCTGATTCACATGATGAAAATGAACATATGTGGGTCCGCACTGCTTTGGATCGTTATCGAGCAGAACCCGTCATCAGCATGGACGCATATCCTCTGGAACGCTGAAGCATCACGGGACGTGCTCTTTAGCGCATCTGGCATGTGAATATCTTGCAGTGCCGGCGACAACAGTGTCATGCAAATGCCTGTTCTCACTTTCAGGTGTGTAGCGGGGTGGACATCGGCTCCTGCCTAGGAAGGGTTAAATCCAGCCCTGCAGAGGGCTGGGGCTGTGGAAGAAAAGCTACCTAGGCTGATTGGGGAAGTAGCCGCAGCTGGGCCACACCCCAATCAGGCCTCAGCTGGCCTGTATAAAGAGGCTGGGAGCCAGGAGCTCAGCAGTCTCTCTCTGCACTCAAAGAGAGAAGGGCCTGGCTGCAGGGAGCAGAGACATGGTACCTGAGTGGAGAAGGGCTAGGGAAAGGCTGAGGAGCTCCAGCCTGGAAAGCCCCAGGCTGCGGCCTAGTATTAGGCCAAGGGGTACTGGGGGTTGCAGAGGGCAGCCCAGGGGTAGGCCAGGGCAGTAGGTCCAAACCCAACCCTGCCAGTGATGAGTGGCTGATACTGAAGTCTGCCCCAGAGAGCGGGGGCTAGTTGGTGACCGGCAGTAGCCTGACACTGAGGCGAGGTGGGGTTAGTGGGTGGGGGTTCCCCTGGGAGGGGAGACCTAGTGTGTGTGTGTGGGTATTGCCAGGGGGCAGCACCCAGAGCAAGGGGCACCGGGGTCCTGGGAGGGACACGGGGGCCATTGTGAATGACAAGGCGGATCACCGGCCTGCAGAGGGCGCCCCGGGCTGGATTGAGCTGATTCCCCGGAGTAACCAGCAGGAGGCGCTGCAGGGGTGAGTCCGACCCCTTACAAGGTGACATTGTACCCAAGAAGCAGGCAGCATTATCTTCTGCAAATGTAAACAGACCTGTTTGTCTGAGCGATTGGCTGAACAAGAAGTAGGACTGATTGGACTTGTAGGTTCTAAAGTTTGATATTGTAGAAAATGTAGAAAACATCCAAAAGTATTTAAATAAATGGTATTATATTATTGTTTAACAGCGTGATTAATCACAATACTTTTTTTAAAATCGCTTGACAGCCCTAGTTGAATTATATCCATTTACTGGTATGATAAAGTTGTGGCTTTTATTTTTAATTTAGGACAGGAAAATGTCTCTGGGAAGGAAACATCTGTTGTGAAAATATTTGATCCAAGTTTTATATATAGGCTCCTTTTATGTTGTTTTAACATTTTTAAAAAGTTAGCTGACAGCTCTACAGCTGTGATAAAAAGGCAATAAAATAACCCAGTAAACTATAGCATTCAAATATATACACATAGACACACGTCACTCCTTGAGCCGGACCTTACATCCCTAACCCTTTGCAAAGTACACTGGGAGTGAAGGAGTAAAAAGGTCTATAGAAGTGCTAAGTCTTATTTTAAGAAGGAAGGCGGTGAACTGGTTTTATTAAAATAAGAAATTAGCCTGAACTGCAATGTTCAAATCCAAGCTGAACAGATATCAGTGTGCTCAAATCTAGGGCACGGGTTTGGCCCATTGTATACCTAGGACTATACTTAATGTTTTTAGATCTGGATAAGAATTCAAACTGTCGGCAAATCAGGGAATTGCACAGATAAAGGAGTTTGATTTGGGACCCTCTCCTGTTAAAATATTAACCCACTGAGCAATCCTCCATAATTATAACCTGGGCTGAACATTTCCTCAGCACATAAAACAATAATAAAAGAATCAATCTGGAATTTCAGATGAATGGAAAGTATTTTTCCTGTTTTTCATATTCTCTTTTAGTTAACAAACAGAAAATACTTATTTATCTGAAGGAGTTGGATTTCATGCATATACTTCACAATGTCTGACTAACCTATTTCTAGATGCATAAACTTGTCTGCTGCTGGAGCTCAGAAAATACATTGGGTCCACCTTCTATATAAAATAAATTTACAGTGCATAATATGTTATGTTTTCATTTCTATTTTCTGGTAATGTCCACATGGAACATAAAGGATAATGGAACAATCTGGACAAAATAATATATGGTAACTGCCCTGAACAGTTTAAAATCTAGTGTGACAGGCAACAAGTGAGTTACAAACAGTAGAAAGGAACAGAAAGTGAGATGAATTGCAATTATGCACTCAAACAGGATGAAAGAATACACAATTTGTATGTTGAAACCACATGACACAGATTTCCTGAGAAGTTTTATGTTCTCCTTTATTGATTCACTGTACGCTAGACAGACAACTGTGGAGTCTTTTGAGTTATGCACTGATCTTCTCTGATTAGCCACAACAATACCAGAGGCAACTGAATTTTCCATGATCCTCAGAAAGGCTAGTCAGACAACGATGACTGTGGCCGACAGGAAAAATTAAAAAAACCCCACAAAGCATCCCCTTCAAATATGTTAGATACTTCTTTATTGGGTATCTAAATTAGTTACAGAGAATTCACAGCTAAACAGCCAGGCAAGATAACAGAAAAAGAAGAATTCCAGTTCTAGAGGTAGCTCCGGATTGACAGGGATACATTTCTAGATCTGAAAAAACTTGTGATTTGAACTGACTGGAAGTAGGCCATAAAGCAGAGAAATGATTAGGATGATGGTAACAAAGTATTGAGTGAGAATTTCATTTCCACAAGATCCCGCCTTGAAATTAGCCCAACTCGCAGTCTTGGGCACCAACCTGTGGCATAGAGCACGAGACCTTGCAGCAGCAGCGGAAGTCGGGGCCAGCTGGATGCA